AAAAAAAATTACTATGGACAAGTCTTCAACATAAGTGGCTTATAACAGAAAATAATTGATTATCCATTCCACATTTAAAGTGTTCAGTGAGCAATTTCCACTATCTGTAAAGTCCATTAAACTGCAAAAAGAACAGGCAGCATTGCCATAAACCACTGAGAACATTTATGCAAATCTGGCATACACTTGCATAAGTGACTTGGTAAGCATATATGACTAAAAACAGGAAATAGAGAGAGGGATAACGCTGTGAAGTTCTTGCACTGTAAGGACTGTGAAATGAGTAACACAAACAGTTTCAAATGGAAAACCATTCCATCAAATTATCTATTTTACAAGGCTGAAAAATGACTCACCAAACCGGTATTAATTAAAAGGGATTAAAATTATCCTTAAGTATTACAGACAGGTGCCATGTTCTCTGAGATGAGAACTGAAAAAGTAATTAATACTTACATGTGGAAGGAGGTGCAGGAAGGCATCTCCACTCAAGGTCCCCACAGCCAGTGCCACAAGAAAACTTAGAAGAAACTTGAAAAATACGCGGTTCATCAGCGGCACCAATATAACACCCAGTAAGGAAAGAAAACTGATGACAGAGATGGATATAAAGCCACCAATCCAGGCTGGTAAAAAAAAAAAAAAAAAAAAAAAAAAAAAAAAAAAAAAAAAAAAAAAAAAAAAAAAAAAAAAAAAAAAAAAAAAAAAAAAAAAAAAAAAAAAAGTAGTAACAACAATAAGTAACAGCTGTACATTACTTTGTTTGCTTAATATTTCTGCTATCAAACACTTCTGATCACAGGTAAGCCACAAAGATTCATAACCAACAGAAACATGTTTCCATTAAGCACTGATGTTAAAAAACAACCTACCTATCTGCAGAGAGTAACTTTTTGGAGGAGTTTCAGCTTTTTCACTAGTTGCATGGACTATGCAGTACTTGCCATCGATCTGATTAATAAGAGCTGGACAGAGGTAACTAAATTCTGTAGCAGACAACAATACTTGAGTGCCTATTCCATGTGACTGCATCAGTTTTGAAGCATTTGAGCACTGTGGAAAGAAGATATTTATTAAAGATTAACCAGAACCAAAATACCATGATAAACCTTAAAAGGACTGCACATCCCATCTTACTTGAAATACAGTGGCACCATATGAAAACAGCTGTATCAACACAACCCAAAACCAGAACAATTTAAGTAAAAAATGTTCCTCCACTCCTGTCCTCTCCCAGAAAGCTCTTTTGGGAGTCCTGGTAGATGACACATAAATTATCACTCATTCTCAGCACAAGTGGGTCAAATGCTTTTTGCTGTATAAATAAAGCCTAATACTTTTCATTCTGTTTTAAATGCCACACAAGGAAGCTGTAACAAGGTCAAATACCTTTTTATAGAAGTGACTACTGTGGAAAGTCGTGCACAGAGCATGTCCTGCATACACTTCCTCTAGTAAAGAGCTCCCCATTGGATGACCTACATGTAGTCTCATCAAGCTTAAAGAACAGTAGTACTTCTGCTTTGACCGTGCAGAACACAGCAACAACTTGCGAATTCAGCACCTACAAGTCACCCGTTACACAACACCCACTCTGAACTACCTGGTAATGCTGCAAATTTTAGTCCCCCATTTGCCTTTTAAAGGCTTTAATGGAAAAGGATTTGACTGTGTAAAAAAACTGTCTACAACACAACTATTGACTTTTTTGGGTCCTACTTTTTACTATTTTAAAGTACCAGGTAACTTTTTGATGCAATCCTTTTTACAGCTGGTTTCTATATACAGTCTTGAAGATGAGGAGGGGAGGGGGTTGAAGGAAGATAGTTCTATGCTCTCACAACTGTGACAGCTTTGATAAGAATAACAGTATTTTAACTAGATTTTTTTACTTTCATCACATTATTAGGAAAACAAGACAGACACTGACTGTAAGGCAGACCTGCAAGTTATAAATTTTAAATGTTTTTTGGTTTTAGTAATATTTTAAAGTATTGTATATATCATAAATATATTAAACAAAGTGTACGTTTATACTTAATTTTCCTCTGAGCTTGTGAACATGACACAACATTCCTTCAAAATGTTAAGTTTCAAGGAAAGTTGTTTGCACGCGTTTGGCAATGGGTATGGCTACACCGCAAAGCCTGCACCCAGCTGAGCGACAAGCATCCGACAAATAAGCCATGCCAACATTCCCAGTGGATCCGGATTCCTGAGAACACAACAGAATCGGTCTCACCTCTTGAGTGCTTTGTTTTTTCAGTTTAGAATACAGGTAACTTCCTCCTTCCGACTCCTTCAGGGAAGCACGAGATTCATTTGCCCTGCTGACAGCAGGCCAGCTCGCATTGCGGCCGCCTGTGACGTTGACGGCACTGGGGCCGGTCAGCCCTGAACGAGCAACTGTCTTGACTTCCCCGGTTTGCACATTCTGCAACTCAGAGTGGCCACCTGCAGAAGCAGTGATGACAGATGCCATTATTTCATTAACAGTGTTCTTGCTGCGTACAAAGTTTTGCTGGTGTTCCATATTCTCCACTTTATGAGGTTCCTTCGCATGGCTGTTCCTGCGGTCTTTGTTCGCATCAGATTCATGGTTTGGACAAGAAGTCTTCTCGGAGCTTTTACTCAGCGAAACATGATTATGGTGAAAGTGATGATCATGATCATGGTCGTGGTCGTGATCGTGATGATCATGATCGTGGTGATCGTGGTCATGATTGTGATGATCGTGGTCATGATCGTGGCGATCATGGTCATGATCGTGGCCTATTTTAATCCTTTTCATTTTATCTATACCTATGTTCTGGAGGAGTTTTCTAAACCCATCAATTGATAGAGAGTTGTTTTCTCCATAACGATGAAAAAGTTCTTGAAGGTGAAACTTCTGTATTAGCCCTGCCAAGTCAGTATTAATGCCCACTGTCTTTTCTGGAAAAGCTCTCTCTGATGTATGCACAACAGTAACGGTCTCCACTCCATGATGGTAACTGTCACACAGCAGTATGGAAAAGGATACAACGAAAATAACCGATACTGTACTCTCCATTGCAGTTCCTTTTTCAGCAGTGCAAACAATCTAGAAAAAGAGGAAAATTTTAACAGTTTGCATAGAACCGATCACATCTCCCTTTGTAATGCTAGTTCATAATTTGCTTAAACCAAAAAAAAAAAAAAAACACCCACAACAAACAAAAATCAAACCCTGCCCAAAGTATCAATGCAGTGAGAGATTTAAACTTCTTATGCATCCAGCACTTTTCCCAGATGTGTGGCCTCAGGCAACAGGAGATGAAGCTGCATGCCACAGTGAGGTCACTGGCCATGAACACCTCCCCAGGTGTGATCTTACCTTTGTTTAGCTTTCGCCTGAGTCACTGCTAATACTGGCTAAACAATGAGAGCCCTCAAGGGTGCAACAACTCAGTTCTAGGTTAGGGTTTTCTCATGCTTAAAAGAAGTCCTATAATTTCCCTCTTAGCAGTGAATAAGTACTATAAATTATATGCTCCATCTTAAAAATCGAAATTCTCAACCTTTAATCACTGGAATTCCTGGAGGTTCAGGCAAACCAGATGAGTGACTGTTTCCACCACTCCACAAAAATGCATTTTTTTTATGTTGCCACGTTCTATCTGTGTTTTAACAATATTGCCGCACGGCTCCTTTCACTAGGCAGGCAGACCACTGCCGTGGACCAGACGCTCACAAGCGTTTACGTGTTTCATTCCATAAATACTCATAAATACTCCAGAAAGGCTGCGAATTAACTGCTGCGGAGGCTGCGTGCAGGGCTACGCCCGAGGGCTGCCTCAGCAATTTTCCAGGGAGACACAGAGAACATTACCTAACGCCGAGAACCTCAGAGTTTCCAAAAAGATTATAGTCAGCCTTAAAAACCCCACAGCGCCGGCGGAAAGGGATGGCTGAGAGGTGACCTCATCAATGTCTGTGAGTATCTGAAGGAGGAGTGCCAAGAGGACGGATCCAGGCTCTTCTCGGTGGCGCCAAGCAACAGGACAAGAGGCAGTGGGCAGACACCGATGCACAGGGAGTACCACCGGGACATGACGAGAAACTTATTTACTGTGCGGGTGACCGCGCGCTGGAAGAGGTTGCCCAGAGAGGTAGTGGAGTCTCCCTCACTGGAGACACTCGGGAACCACTGTGGACATCACCCTGTGCCATGTGCGCAGGGACGGCCCTGCTCGAGCAGGGAGGCTGGACCAGATGCTCCACTGCTGCTCCTCCCGAGCTGACCCGCCCTGTGGTTTCGTGACCCGCGGGAGCCGCGCCCGCTCTCCCTGTCCCCGCGGCCCCGGACACCGGCACTGCCCTGAGCGCCGCGCTGCGGCGGGGCCCGGCCCGGCCCTGGGCCGTGCGAGGGCTGGAGGCGCGGGAAGGGGAAGGAGGAAAAGAAAACAGAGGTTACCTGGCCCGCGCCGGGACGGGCTGAGCCCTGCCGCCGCCGCTGCCCGCCCGCGCCGGCCGCGCCGCGCCCCTTCCCTTCTCCCTTTCCTTTTCCGGGTACGGCGGCCGCCACGCGCCGCTCCGGAGCTTCTCCAACGGCGGAGAGGGGCGGGAGTCACGTGGAGGGTGGCCGAGCTGCCGCTGCCACAGCGGCGGGAGCCGCCCCGGGGGTCCCGCTGACACCCCCCCCGAGTGCCGCCGGTGCCCTGGTGGGGGCCTGCTCCGAGGCTCTGTACGGGACCACAGGGCCAGCCCAGGAATCATAGAATCATAGAATTAACGGGGTTGGAAGAGACCTCTGAGATCATCATGTCCAACCCTTAATCCAACCCCACTGTGATTATTAGATCATGGCACTCAATGCTACATCCAGCTTCATCTTAAAAACCTCCGGGGACGGTGAATCTACCACCCCTCTGGGCAGGCCACTCCAATGCCTGATCACTCTCTCTGTAAAGAACTTCTTTTCTAATATCCAACCTAAACCTCCCCTGGCAGAACTTGAGACCATGCCTTCTTGTCCTACTGCTGATTGCCTGGGAGAAGAGACCGACCCCCACCTGGCTACAACCTCCTCTAAGGGAGTTGTAGAGAGTGATGAGGTCACCCCTGAGCCTCCTCTTCTCCAGGCTAAACAACCCCAGCTCCCTCAGCCTCTCCTCATAGGACTTGTGCTCAAGTCCCTTCACCAGCCTGGTTGTTCTTCTCTGGACCTGCTCCAGCACCTCAATATCCTTCCTGAACTGAGGGGCCCAGAACTGAACACAATACTCAAGCGCTGAGTACAGGGGAAGGATCACTTCCCTGCTCCTGCTGGCCACACTGTTCTTGATGCAGGCCAGGATGCCATTGGCCTTCTTGGCCACCTGGGCACACTGCTGGCTCATGTTCAGCCTCCTGTCGATCAGCACCCCCAGGTCCCTTTCTGCCTGGCTGGTCTCCAGCCACTCTGTGCCCAGCCTGTAGCGCTGCAGGGGGTTGTTGTGGCCAAAGTGCAGGACCCAGCACTTGGCCTTGTTGAACTTCATCCCATTGGAATCATCTCAGCTCTCCAGCCTATCCAGGAGCTGTGCAGGCTGGGGAAGGGCAGAGTGGGAGTAGAGTCAGCAGCCCGGAGGAGGTGGCCCGGGAGGAAGGCTGAATCCCGAGAGGGTCCCTATTTACGAAAGCACTGAAATTCGGATTTGGTGTTGTTTGGAAGGTGTGAAGCGCTCCCCAGAGAGTTAAAAGGATGAGAGTCTGGAAGGTGTGAAGCGCTCCCCAGAGAGTTAAAAGGATGAGAGTCAGAAAGGTTCCTCCCAGAAAGCACGAGTTGTGCTGGGCTGGCAGCAGCGGTTTGGGGGATGGTGCTGGGTGTGGTAGCATCCCTTGGGGGCTTGGAAAGGGCTTTGTACAAGGACTCCTAGTCTCAAAAGTACGTGTGCAGGCAAGCAAGGACTGGAAGTGGGCTGACTGGTTGTAAACAAGATGTGTAGGATAATGGCAGGGGATGTCGGGTATTGTTGGCATCCACGAGGCCAAGGCGGTGAGCACTCTTTGGTCGAACTGCCATTGTAATTAACGATCTGGCAGAAGAAAACTGCGCTGTTTGCATGAGTGGACAAAGGCACTGTAAGAAAGGACTGAGGTTATCTTGGTGAAAGGCTTGAAACTTGCTAAAAACATGTTGCTTTCTTCTGAATAAGCATACTCAATTTTTCAAACATTGTTGTGCTGTACCACTTTTCTTACCTCGTCATGAGCCCTTCACTGTCTATCCCTGGCATAGGCTCTCTTATATTTCCTCTTTACTCCACCATTTCCAGAGTTTTACATTCTACCATCACATGATTAATATTGCTGATAAAGTAGGTGCAGTTGTGCTTACCCATCCCCTTTGGCTCTGGAATATGACCTCTCTTGTGTGATCAGTTGCCAAGGTTTTTCAACTTACTAGAGTGTGAAAGCAACACTGAATCCTGCTGTATGATCTGGCTTTATCAATGACTCCTGAATGTTATGCCAGTGACTTAAACTTAACATCCATACCATTCGCAGCCATCTTTTTCCTTCTGTTGTCTGCATTCTTGACCTTGCTCACCAGTAAGGAGGTGACAAATCTCTTTTTTATGCCTAATACCTCCAACTCTCTAACTGAACTAAGCCTCTTTGTTTTGTGAATTCAGCTGACTGAAGGACAGAAGAGAAATATGCATTGTGAACAACTCCAGAAACAAAGAGCAACGTGTCAGAAGGTTATGGATTTGTTCTGTGCAGTCACTTTTGAAGTGTTAAAAAAACCCCTGTGTCCCTCAAACTTTTTTTTTTCTTCTTTTCCCCTGGAGGAAGAGAGGGAGGCTATAAAATGCAGGAGTGGGTGGCGTTTTTTGTTTAATCTAATTCATTTTCCATTAATACTATTTGCCAGGTGCCTTAGTAATATTTCGGTAACAAAATTTTTATGCCTAAAATGCTATTGTTAGGCATTTGGTTGGAGTAAACGATTTTTTTTTTATCTTTTCAAATTACAGCTGCTAAATGATGGAGCCTGTTTTTCTTGCCTCTTAAATGCATCCACTGTCTCTGTCTGTTTTGTTGTGTCAAATCTGCAGTTTCCTTTCACATCTTGTCAAGGTCATGTACAGACCTAAGTGCCAGAGCTTAGGTCACACAGAACTGGTCTTCAGTGCTAAAATGCTATTTTTTATTTTAGTTTAATTTGAGTATCTAACACACATCAGATAGGCGAAAAGAACCCATGCTGGTAAAAACAATTCACCTAAAAACCTTATTTGCAGTAAAACTTGATGTCATGTCTGTTTTATGGTACCTGAATTATCTCAGTAAGCTTATCTCATGGTAAAATTAAAGCCCTTCAGTCATTTTTGCCCTTTCTGTTAGCCATGTCTTGCTCCAGCCATGAGCTCTGGAGTAGCTGTGATCAGATAAAACAAAGGTCTTGGAGACCCTTGTCGATGGTTTAATGAATGTAGAAAAATCTCTTAACCTGTGGACAAATGGGAATCGTTATTTAGAGAGTCAGCAGAAAGCAAACCAGGAAGAGGTTTGATTGCTGTCTTAATTCATCATGGGACTTCATCTTAATGACAGTGTGTAGCTCCAGGCCTCTGTTCCTAGAAGAGTATGTTTGGAATTGAAAAGAGTATCTTTGTTGGGATTTTTGGTTATTTTTTTCCTGTTCAGAAGGGCTTTTCAGGAGGTGACAGCCTTTTCAGCATGGAAAAGAGATGGATGAGGAAGAATAGGATGAAAGTGGAAAAGTTTATGGAATATTACCACCTGCTTAACTGCTCTGACTGGTGTTGCCCAAAAATTTCTGGACTGCTTTGCTGAGTATGTGTCAGTGCAAATGCTTTAAAACGTAGTGGTTTGGAACCAGTAGGGAGCTGGCTGTTCATGCAGCTCTAGTCTCTTTGCACAGCTTTATCACAGCTGTGTTGTATGAGCCCAACATTACGCACTTAACAGAGGTGATGATGAAGAAGTGAGCAGGGAAGTGGCCCTGAGCATGATGCTGAGGGCCACTCTTCTGTGGTCCTACTAAGCTTCTACTCCTAAAAGCTTCTTGAGATTTGGAAGGTTTTATATTTCCTTGCCTTTTAACTTTTAATTGAGAACAGCTATGTGATTAGAAATATTAAATGTATAAATGAAAAAACTCTGAAAGTTATAAACTAAAAATTTGTTTTAAACAGCAAAGCTGTTACCACACAATTTCTGGACTGGTGTAGCCTCATGCAAAACTCCCTTGTTTTTCTTTAAAATCTGCAGTAATCCTTTTATTCTATTAACAGTGTTCTGCAATTGTAAAGAAATCTCTGAATCAGCAGTTCCTTATGTTATTCTTCCAAAAAGTTCCTCTCTCCAATACCGTACTGAACAACTAGTTAGCAATTGCGTATTTGATGTTATTATATTCTAAGTCCTAAAGATATATTTTAATGTAGCAATGTCCTTAGTTTGTGTGTGTGTTCTGTGATGGTTTTCAAAATGCTTAGAATTCTGTCTGGAGAAAAATAGTTTTTTACTGGCTATGTCTGCTGAATGGCTGCAGATTTTTAGCATCCTGCAAGTTGAGCTCTGGAGGTTTTGGGTTTTTTTAATTAGCACATGAACAGAGCAGTTGTTTCTTAAGTAACAAAAAATATATAAATATATGTCTTTCAACAGAGATGCTAACAAGCAGTATCCAAGTCCTTGCCTAAGAATCTCCAGGACCTTCTCCTGCGCTCCTATCTCTCTTCAGTGGCTCATTCTTATGTCGACAAATTCTGTTCCGAAGACCTCTCTGAAATAGAGAGATTTTAACAGAAGAAATAATTATTTGGAAGCTGCGCAGGAGGAGCATTAGATCCTTTTGTACTGTGCTTAGCTGCACAGACATCCAGGGAAGCACTAACTGCCAGGGTGGGGCTTTGGCTTTTATCTTATATTTTGCTACAAATCATGGCTATAGTTACGACATTTCCATTTAGACCTGCTTGCAAATAATTTCTACAGAATGAGCCCTAAAATGATTAAAAGGGTAAAGAATAGAAATAAAATATGAAAGTTGTGCTATTTTTCCCTACAGAGCATCTTTTGCCTTTAGTCTGATCCATCAGTTATTGAAGTCATTGGGAAAACTCCCTAGGGATTTGCGCATGTTATCACAGGCACTTATAAACCAAAAGCTTTGCAGTTTGTGTCTGTTGGGGTTCTTGTGTTCAGTAATTTTGGTTGTATTTTCTGTTCTTCGATGCTTATGATATATCTGGAATATCAGTATTGAAAACAATTTGTAATTTTTTAAGCTGGGCTTGATAATGTAACAATAACACAGAAAATTGGTTAATCTCTGCATGATGTGATCAGAGGCTGATTGCCATTAGCACACAGAAGCAATGACAGGAGGTGAAACTCCAGTGACCAAATCACTGGGAAAACATCAGGGAAGAACACCCTGATCTGGATTTGGGGCTGTGAAAGGAGGAGGATGAGCCTCATGACTAACTGTGAAACTCATCAGACAAGTTAATGGAAGAGGATCTCTGGTTCACTACAGATACCATATCATCCTGAGAGGGGCATTGTCCTTGCATCCCATAACGACTTCAGAAATCCTTGGGATTGTGCAAGACTTACTATAAAACATTTAGGGGAAGGACCAAGTAGGGAAAAGGAAGATCAAGGTGTTTTGAGAAGGAACAAATGTGAGAAGATAAGGAAGAGGCAGCAATAAGGGGCAGTTGTAAGGCTGCTGGTAAGGTAAGCACCTGATCGCTGCTGCTTTTCCAGCATTGTTGCTGAACTCCATTTGTAACTGTTTTCATGGAGAAGGGTCTGTCTGTCTGTGGATGGACAGCTAAGTACCAGTGAACAGAGAGGGGACCAGCGGTCACAGGGACCCATGCTTCTGTGATACCAGCAGCTAGAAAGACTGGAGTGTGTGTAAGTCTGAGTGTCAGCGACTGGACAGATGCCCAGTCATAGATTTCCATGTGTCTGGAGTGGCAGCAACTGGGAAGACTGGAGTATGTGTGTCTTGTGTGGATCTGTACATCACTCTGTGTAATTACTAATGAGCATGAAGCTGGACTAGCAGGCTAGTAAGATAAGAGGCTTGGGAGCCAAGTATTGGAGATACCAGAGAACCCTGGGTGTGGTCTATGGGAGGGATTAGGAGCTCCAAGGCAGCTGTGGGAAGGACCCATGGGGTCAGGGGACCAGCTGTAAGAGAGCCTGTTAGCACGTGCCTTTGTACATGAGGTGACTGTCAGATCAGGGTATTCAGGGCTGGGTATAGATTAAGACCAGTTAGTTACCAGAGAGAGTCAGAGGGGTTGTGTCACATGCTCCAGGGGGTTTGGGAACCAGCAACCTGTGTGAACATACAGGCCTTAGGGGCTTTTATGGCCACGTGCCACGAATTGGAGACACCAGAAGATCCAACAATCAGTTACTGGACAGATGGAGCGTTTATGAACAGCCACTGGAGTATAGTATGGAGTATGTGTTCCTTGCTCACAGGCTTTCATCCTAATCAGCCAGACCGGGGAACAGTATTGTGGGTGCTGGTGCTGTTGTTGATTGTGCGAGGGCTGTGGTTTTTGTCTGTGTGTGTGTCTGTGTGGATGGCTGTGTGTGCATATGTGTACTGTACACCTTCGCCTATGGAGAAAACATGCTCAGCCTCACTACTAGCGTTCTGGCCTCTACTGGGCAACAAGATTTGGTAACCTCTAAAAATAAATAATTATTGTTGTTTGGGTATTGCAGTGGTGTTGGGTCTAGACACAGAAAGGCTGAGTCTTCAGGAAGGAAAAGAGCATAAAAACCATCAAAGTATACTAGAAAAGAATATGGAGAAAATGAAGTGGGGGCAGGGGGCAGAGGGGAAGAGAGAAGCGCTCCAGAGAGACCTGTTTAGAATTGTAGAACAGTGTACTTTGTTATATAGCAAGGCTATATATATATATACGCACACAAAATACACAGTACAATAGTATGCAATAGTTTTATACCTTCTTATGGATGCTATTGACTGCAAGATGCTGAAGGAGGAGAAAAACAGCATTTATTCACGCATGGCATGCTTTTAAGTACTATAAGTTATTATGTATGTTCACAGGAGAATTTTCAACATAATTACAAGGTATCCCAGGATGGAAATTCTGTTCCTTTCTGCCACTGGAATATAATAGTCAAAGTGTCTGAGTACAGTTTATCATCTGGAGCTTAGAGCTTTTATTTACTTCTATAAGTTGTCAAAGCTGCATTGTAGAACATGCATGTTTTATGTATGTCTAAAACACAGGGGTAGCAATTCTTTCATCAACAACTTTTTGCTTAATTGGAAAAAGTTATATTTTAAAAACACAGAAGCAATAGCTTCCTCATGTGTTTGTTCCTTTTTTCCATGTTTGATTGCATAAATAGAAGCCTGAATTTCAAGTGCCCTGACTCAGTCAGCAGAGGCAGGCTGCAAATCTTACTGGGATAGCACTGGGCTTTTTGACACTCATTGCCTTCACTTCTGTACTTGAGCCAACAATGCAACATTCACTTACGGCAAGAAAATTCATGGTGAAGAATGATGTTTGTGGTAGCAGCATATTCTCTGCAGTTTTAGGTGCAATGTCTTGTAAAAGGTATATTGCACCAGGATTACCTCTGCTGTGGCTCTTTTATTAGGGCTGAATGCCAGACTGGATTTCTGGCTGACCACCTTTCCCTTTGACACAGCCTGCTCCTTTTTTGCATCCTGATTTGCTTTGTCCTAACAGAAAAATGATGCCACTTTGGTTTATGTATTTTGAAAATGGATTGTAATAATAGAAGCTATAGCTGTTTAATGAACTGTTGGAATAAAGTTTTGGAATTCAGATTGCTTTGGAAAGCTAGGACAGTTAAAAGCTGGATTCAAAAAGCGTGTATGAGCACAGCAGTTTTAGCTGTATTTTAGGTTCTCTGCTGGATACAGAAGATAATTGGACGGCATGCATTTGGAAAGATGTCTTTCTAAACCCAAGTTTAAAATCAAAGTTTTCAAAGCCAAATGTCTTTGAAATCACCGAAGCTAATGAATACTTAGCATCTCAGAATCTTCGGGCTGGATCTAGCATTCCCATACCATTTTAAAAGGCTGTCTTTAATGAATAATGTAAGCTTAAATTCTGATCAGTAAAGCTTTAATGGCTGCCATTAAGGTAATATTTGAAGTAAACCTGTTCTGACACAAAGCCTGGAGCACAGATGGAGACGCTAACTGGAAAATCTATACCTTAAAAGTATTGCTGTATTTCTGTTTGGCACTTTCTGTAAAGAAATAGCAATGTGTGTGTTGGGTAGGTCTTGGGACATGCCACAGTTGCTAGTTTACATTCTGCAGAATAGGTCATGTGTTGTAGTAATTGTACATAAGTAGATAAACTCTAAAACCGCATTTGGCACTTCTAACACTTCAGATAAGCTACACCTCTGGAACTACTTAGCACATTCAGGGATTCTAGATATCCAGCAGCTGAGCTCTGAGTTCTTGTAACATTTCTAGACGTAAGAGACCTGTAGTTTGTCTCAAGACTTTGCTTGTTTTGACAAACTGTTACTCTGATGTGCTCACTCGTTTTAAATTATTGCTGCTTTCAGGTGTGCTTGTTTCAAAACTGTGATACTAAAATAACCTCGTACAGGGGACAGATGCCATGGTAATATTTAGGATTATTGTCATTATGTTTTCTTCTGCCTGGTATGTATTAAATTTGGATGGTATAATATCTCTTGTGAAATAGAACACTAGTAGATAACTTGAAAATCTGGCACTGCTGGGGTTTTTTTTCCTATCAAACTAATTTCCTTTGAACCTGAAGCAGCATCCATCAGATCTTGTCAGCAGCACAACGAGGCACGACTGTATATTGTCAGTGGAATACCAATTAGCCTTTAATTTTACCACACGTCCAATCAAAAGAGCTATTGCTTTCACATGATGGCAGAAGGTCATTAAAACAAATGATCTTGCTGCCAGACAATGACAACAAAACCACAGCTCAGTAAGTAGTGTATCTGTTATTGAGCACTGACAGCACTCTCAGTGCTGTGCTGCACTCATTTTTTTTTTTTTTCATTCTGAGTTGTTTCAGGTGATCTGATGGCCTGAGAGCTACAGCTAAAACATTGTCTCCTAACCTAACCTGTTAAGATACAACATTGTTTGCCTCAGACATATGATATCATAGCTGTCAAATTCTGTAGCTCTTCCTTTGCTTTCAGCTGCGCTTGCAGTTTTAATTCTTAACAGTCTTTTCCAGAAGCAGCAGCAGCCTGTCCTTTAGTACCCTGAGTGGTGGTTCTTCAACCCTAGCAAAGTAAGTGTTGGTACATTACTTAAAATGTTACAGTTTGTCTGGGTTTAGTCATTGGGATTCTCTGAAGTGTTTCACTTCATATTCTGCTGTGAACCATGGCTGGTTCAATGCTCTCTTCTGTTTGGGACATGAAAGAATTTCCAGATTCTCACTTTCTCATATATCTCATCCTACTCAGTTTTAAACTTTCTTCTTGTAAGGCAGTTTCCTGTTTTCCTTCCTTCATCTTGAGAACAAACTACTCCACAAAATTCTAAAGTAATGCAGTTCCTACTGTATAATTGGAAAGTGCTATTCACAGATCCGAGTCAATCACATAAGGCTACTAAAAAGTGTTAGTATTTTTGCATTCAAAAAATAACATTTAAAAAACTCTACATACTGATAATAGATACTAACTCCCCTACCATTTATGCTTTTAAGATGTCTGTGCAAAAGTAAAATAGAGAAACAAAATGGCAAATAGAGCATGAGTGACAACAAAAGAAAATCCTACTCTATATGTAAGAATTTCAGTTCAAGTCTGCAATCTTTTTCTGTGCTGAGTTTTTCCACTGATTTTGCTCAACAATACCATCAGTGCTGAGAACCCCTGCAGAGATGCTGCATCGGTAGCAATCAGAAAAAAAATATTTTTATGCTTGTTGCACAATAATCTAGACACCCAGTTTGTGGGTTTTTTTCTGACTAACAACTTCTTAAAAAGGAAAAATTTGTACTGATGGTAAACGGCCCTGTGAGAGGTCCGTGGCCTGTCTGTAAATCAGGTTGCAAGTGAGCGTCCAGAAAATGAGTATTGTGTAATCATTGACCCAATGACCACATCTTTTCTCCCCTCCTTCACAGCTGAGGAGAGTTTATTTTTCTTCAAAGTGTCAAAGCATTCTGATGCTTTTAGCAGTGAAAAAAAAATTAAAAAAAAAAAAATAGCTGTTACCCAAGTCAGTCGTAGTCTCCAAGCCTCCTGATAATAAGCAGATCTCTTCATAAGTGGTGTCCTGAGAAAATATGATGCCTCCTGTCTGCTTCATTCACCAAATGCAGAGATCAGATATTTGGGTTAGAGACTTACAGATACATGAAAACCATTGCCTATACTGTCTGTGGCAGCCAATCCTGGGTGCGTGTCCTGACTTGATGGAGTGGGAATGTAGGCTAATTGAGTGCAGCACAGCTCTAGGAAGTCTGATTTTTCACTGAGGTGTATTCTAAAAGCTTTACCTGAAGCCATTGACCCAATGTCTAAGAATTAACTTGGACTAACTTTTACAAGTCAGTAAAATAATGGAGCAAAAGTGAGACCTGAAGTGTGAGAAATCCTATCCTCCAAGGAGAATGTTTTAACTAACAGTGTAGTTGTGGGAAAAGGAGAAAAATATTTTTCCATTTCCATTTCTCACAATACCACCTCAAATGTGGTGGATCGGAAAAGCCTTTAGGTATTCTCCATGCTCTGTCTCATAAGCAGGTATGGCTAAAATCCTAAAGAGGGGAATGGAGGCATGTAAGAATTTACATTAAAAACATGTATTTGGTATAAAACCCCTAATATCTACCTGTTGTGAATTCATGACTCCATATTGAACTTTGTTTTCTAATGGTTATTTTAAAACCATAAAGTACTGCTTATTAAATGTCTTTAGACATTAGTATCAATTTTCATGTCTTTAAAATACATTTCTAGTCCTTTCACTTCAAAGAAAATTCACATACACTTTAGTATTTCAGAAATGAGCATGGAAAAGAGAAGGCCAAAGATCACTAATCATAATTACTAAAGAAACAGTGACCCAGATGCTGAAAGCAAGCCTGAGTGACTGAAAGTTTCCACTCTTTTAAGATTAAAATAATAATAAAATTTGCCTTCTGATATCAATGATTCAGCAATCTCTGCCTTCAGAGATTTTTTGGCAAACATGAGCCCAGAAAATCAAAACAGACTTTTTCAAATAACTCAAAATGTTGAATACCAGATATTTCTGGTACCATATTTCACTCTTAATCATGTATTTCTGGACTCATGGTAAAACCTCCACAATTGCTAGCACTTCAGTCAGCAGCCAGAGAAGGCTTCTGTCCAAAGATGCAAAATGCAGAAGGATCTGATACTGCATTTAGAGTGATGTTTGCTCCATTATTTTCTGCAGATGCTTCTTCCTTCATCGATTTGTCCTGGGATCTGCATATGCTGGTCTTCCTTTCTACCTACTTTATGCTTCTTGTACAAAGATGGTGTGATTTTTGGTGTTGTCCCGTGCCAGGCCAGGAGTTGGACTTCGATGATCCTTGTGGATTCCTTCCAGTTCAGGATATTCTATGATTCTATATTTCTTCATCTGAGTCTTTCTAATGAAGTTTTACATACCTGTAAACAAAATATTCCTTGCACAGGCAACTGCCATTTTTCTCTTCAAGAGACAAGAAGGAAACATGAAGCTCTACATACTTGAAAACAAGTATGAAAACAAGTACCAAAATACTGCATCGCACATGCAGCTGCCCCTTGGGGTGTAAGCTGCTGGAAGTGACGGAGATGGCTTTAAACTAGAATTGGTGAGGAGAGGGCTACCAACACCATTGCAGTAATAAGACAGGTTGGCATGGCATCACCTGAGGGTGGTAAGTGCTCATGGGAATGTTTGCACTGCTCCTGGGAGCACGGATTGCTCAGGAGCATATCTGAAATGCTTGTACCCCACCACACACAGTATGAGAAACAAACAGCATGAACTGGAAGCATTGGTCAGAGCACGGTGCTGCAGTATCACTGATGTTAGTGAGACTTGGTGCAATGAGTCTCCTTTTTCAAAGGACATTCTAAGGGTAACGGAGAGGTCCAGCAATATAAAATGTAATACTCAAGAAAAGTCACATTGGTAATGGGCAGCTTTATGAAGCTCAGCTACAGTGTTGTATGGATGGCAGTACAAACAAGCTCTCTACTTTCTGATTGAACATCCCATGAGGCTGTTCTAGCCCAAAAGCCAGAGAACCCATTAGCAAGACATCAAGTCAGAACTTGTCTCTCCAGTGTTCTTGAAGAGCTTATTAGGTCAGATTTGGTGCCAGACACTAATGCAGTCACCTGTATGTCAGAAAAACAGGCTTGCATCTGCGCACAAGGTTATGCAGAGATTAAAAAGAAACTTCTTTATGGACAGTCCATTTAATGTACTATAAAGTATCTGTAGTAGGTTTGTGAGCTGAAGCAATTTGAACAGTCAAATATGTAAGAGAGCATATATATATATACACATGCATATATATATTTTATGTATGTATATATAAAATGTGTTGCTTGGGATGATTTGTTTGAAGATGTATGAGTTAAGTTGGCAATATTCTGTTGACTATGAATAAGAACTTCCTATCAGCTATGTGAGCAGCAAGAGGTTAACCACTGAGTCATTATCACTGGAAATACGTTCCAGCACCAAAATAATGGAGGCCCAAGTGTTTGGTTTTGTGCTTCCTGGCAGGAAAAATTCATCTAGAATCAAACTAAGAGGTAGGGAAGGATGGTGGTAATAATGTCACAGAACTTGTCAAAAACTTGTTGCTTGCTGAGTATTCTGAGAGATGGATCAGACCATTTACTTAGCATAAAATAAATAAGTGGATAATCTGAGATAAACATGACTTCTGAAGTCTGATGGTATTCCCAGGCCCTACATATCTTCATTCTGCCGGCTTTTGATCAAGTCTTTTGTAAACAGGCATATGTTTCCTTAA